CTCCCTCTCTCTCCCTCTCTCCTCCCCCTTTTCTCTTGAACTCTGCATCACAAATAAATAAATAAAAGCTTTTTTTTTTTTTTTTTTAAAAAAAAGCCCATGTCCAATACGGATGCCGTTGACTGCATGTCCTGGTGCAGCCTGGGTGCACCTGTGTCCTGGCTCCCCACCTTGTCTACTGCTTGTCCTGGACAGGTGCTTCCTGCGGGCACCCTCATCACAGAGGTTCCAGTTGTGCACCTCCTGTGTGCCAGGCTGTGGTGCCATGGCCAGGGTGGTGGCCGGGGGCCTTGGCGTCGCCTTCCAGCCTTGGCACTGGGGAACCCGCGGCTCCTCTGCCGGGAGTTAGGTTACCCGAGTCTGTGAGGCTGGTCTGCCGGCAGACTCATGTCTCCCTGAACACATTTCCCCCCTGCACGTCACTGCACTACCACCTGCGGGCGTTCCCGTCGGACTCTGCCCGGCTCGCAGCTTCTGTCCGGTCACCAGGCTGGAGCGCCGGCGGCTTTGTCCGTCTGTGTCCGGCACCGGGAAGAGCGCCGAGGCGGAGTTCTTGCTGGCAGGGTGCCTGTTCCCCTTCGCCCTCTGTAACACGAATCGGGACAGTGTGGACGGCTGCCCACCCACCGAGCGTGGCCACGTCCTGTCCCCATGCACCTCTCCCCATCCCCCGCTTCCCACCTCGGTGCCATTGCAGGGGCCGGTGTCGTTCAAGGACGTGGCCGTGGGCTTCACGCAGGAGGAGTGGCGGCAGCTGGAGCCGGCGCAGAGGCGGACGTACCGGGAGGTGATGCTGGAGAACTACAGCCACCTCGTGGCCGTGGGTGAGGATGCGGCCGGGGACTGTGTGGGTGGAGGGCAGCGCCGTCTTAGGCACCCTGACCCAAGGCCTCCGCTTCTCGCAAACAGGCGGTGACATCTCCAAACCACGCGTGATCGTGAAGTTGGAGCAGGGGGAGGAGCCGTGGGTGCCGGAAGGCGAGCTGCCGTGTCGGAGCCGTGCTGGTGAGTCCCTGGGGTGCTTGGGCTGGAGGGACAAGCGGGACGCCTGGGCCATGCCTTCCCACGTCCCTCCGCAGTTTACAGCGGTGGGGATTTTCCGTTCTTAGCAGTGCCGGGGACCCGTTCAGTCCTTGACCTGTTCATGCTGTTGCCAGAGACTTGCTTTGTTTTCAGCCATAGCAGAGAGCTAGATCGGAAGTGGAGCACCTGGATCTCGAACCCGCGCCCATATGGGATGCTGGTGCTTCAGGCCAGGGCGTAAACTCGCTGTGCCACAGCAGCGGCCCCTATTTTGTTTAAAAGGGAGGGAAAGACAGAAATCTTCCAGCTCCTGGTTCACTCCCCAGATGGCTGGATCAGGCCAGCATGAGGAGCCAGGAACTCCGTCCGGGCCTCCCACAGGGTGGCAGGGCCACGCTCTTGAGGCGTGTGCTGTCTTCCGAGCTGCATCGGCAGGAGCCGGATCCGCAGCAGAGCAGCCGGGACTCGAACCGTTGCTCGGATAGGGGATGCTGGCGTGGCAGGCGGTGGCTGAACCGCCGGGGGCTTGCTGCGGACTTCAGAGCACCCCCACCCCTCTCGCCTGTGGTCTGCGGGCTGTTTGGTGGCGGCACGGGGACGGCCCGCTCCCGTGTCTCTCTCGGTGCCTGTGGGCCTGCCGTCTCCCCGCATCCGCCTGTGCCGGTCTCCTCCCAGATTGTGTCTGTGTGAAGGCCTCACAGGTTGTCCACGTGATCTCCCTCTCCTGCCATCGGTGTGAGACTCCGGTCTGCACACTGCCAGGTTTGGTGCTCGGTGGCCTGCTGTGGCCACGATGAGCCCGACTGTTCTGTGGCTTCCAGGCCTGGCGACGAGGCCCCTGTTTCCTCAGGCTCGCGTCCCCCTCCCTCTGGTCCCCCTGGGTGATCACCGCCCCTGCTTCGTGTGCACTTTGGGTGCCCAGGGAGCACGTGCCCCCCTCCTGCCCTTTCATCCAGTTGTTTGGCTTAAAATGTGGTTAAAAAAAAAAAAAGTGCAGCTGGAGCTGGCGTGTGACACAGCAGTCACGTTGTCGCTTGCGACACTCGTGTCACACACCGGGGTGCCCGGTTCCCGTCCTGGCCGCTCACTTGTGAAGGAGCTCCCAGGAGGCAGCAGGAGGTGGCTCAGGTTCTGGGGTCCCTGCCGCCCTTGGGGGAGCCCTGGGTGTTCGGGGCTCCTGGCTTTGGCTGTTGGAGGCGTTTGGGGAGTGAGCCAGTACATGGGAGGTCTCTGGTCGGTGCCTCTCCAAGAAAAACCTAAAGGAAAATTTAAAATAAACACACGTAACTCACCACCTCGCCCGTGTTCCAGCGTGTAATAGATTCCCGTGTAACAGATCTTCAGAACCTTGGCCTTTCTACTTGAGCGCGGAAGTGTCTGCTCCCGGCTGTTGCCCTCACTGTCCACCGCCTCTGTCCCTGTCTGCCCGGTGACTGCGGGGCCAGGGCGGGGCTCCGCGCCGAGACTCCTCTGTGATCCGGCGGAGTGGAATGGGGCGGGCTGCTGTGGGCTTGTCACCGGGGAGCCAGCTCAGCGGAGACGGCCGTGTTCTCTGCCGAGGAGGCACGGGTGGCGAGCCTTGGGGTGAGGGACAGGGACGGGGAGAGCTGGGAGCCCCGAGCACCTGTGTGGTTCGTGAGGGGAGCTGCTGTTCTCGCGTGTACTCGGAGAGACTTGGGGCGGGCAGGAACCTTCCTGGCGCGTGGGTCAGTCGGGAGATGAGGGCCTGGCGCAGTCACCCTCCCTGGGCATTTGTGCCTAATGTGTGTTATACCCCCATGTGTTAGAGCCGTGCTGGAGTGGAGGGGAGAGTGTCGGGGACCCGGGAAGGTTGCTCAGCGGTGCAAAGCCGCCCGTCAGCAAGGCTGGCTGTCAGCTTCCAGGGCCAGTGGTCCAGGTCTGCGAGGGCAGTACTGTGAGCATCCTGCTTGTGCTGGTGGTCCCACGTGTCGGCACCGCCGGCATTGCACTGGGGGTCAGTGGGTGCGAGCAGCGGGCGGTGACCCAGGGTCCAGGTGGGAGAGGCTCAGGTCGCGGGGGCGGCGCTGGGTGTTTGATAGCTCCCGGCAGGGCGGTGCTCTTGGTGTTGAAGGTGAGTGAGGGCGCTGTGATGGGCTCGGGCTGGGTGTAGGAGGTGTCATTTCGGAGTGGAAAGTCTCGTGCGGTCAGCGAATGGGCATCCACACTGTAGCTGGTTCTTCCCTGGGACCCACTGCAGACGGGTGGTGCCGTGGCGTGGGGAAGCCGTGAAGAGTGCTGGAGCTGCCCCGCCTTCAGGCTCCTAGACGCCGGGCGACCTGGTGCAGGTGGGAGCTGCAGAACCGGCCGGCCCCAGCACGAAATATGGCCGCCGCCCCTCCACCACCTGGCCCTGTGCATCGCCCGGTCTGCTCTGCTTCTCCGTTGTGTGTGTGTGTGTGTGTGTGTGTGCGCCTGTTTCTCTCCCCCGGGGGCGTGGGCGAGGGTCTGAGCAGGAGGACGAGGGGCCTGCAGTTGGGTTTACGCCCAGAGGGAGACCAGGACTGTGGGAAGGTCTGGGCTGGGGGTGGGGGGGAGCCCTTGCTGTAGGCGTGGCCCGCAGAGCTGCCTGGCCCTGGTGGAGGTGACCTGTGAGAGGCCCCCAGGACATCCAGGAAGATGCCCGTGCGTTTCAGCAGGCTTTGCAGCGCAGTGAGCCGTACCTCCCTCCTCCGCACACTCCTGCGCCTGTCTGTTAACAAGGGTGTTTGTGTGCGGTGCGAGTTCGCGTCCCCCTTCCCCTGCTGCCGGGTCTCGGCCCAGCCTCTCCGTGCCGGCGGAGCCTGGCCTCACCTGGGTCTGCCCTCGGCGTGCGTGCTTCCAGGCTCACGAGGTCATTTCATTTTTTTCTTTGTAGAAGAGGCCTGGAAGGCTGGTGCCCCGGCAGAGAGAGTCCGAGCGGCGGGGGGCGCCCGCAGCGCGCGGCTGCCCAGAGAGGCGGAGAACGCGGCTGGCGGGGCTCCCGGCGGAAGCAGCGACCCGGCCCCCTCGAGTGTGGCGGGCCGCGAGCGTGTCTCCTGCGGAGAGGACTTCACGTCTGCTTCGGAATTAATCAGCAGTGATGGCCGCTATGCGGGAGCGCGCTCGGGCGCATGCGAGGGCCGTGAGAGTGCATGTGCCGGCGGCGGCGCGCCCTGGGCCGCCAGTGCGCCCGAGGACGACCGCGTCCTGCAGGCAGCTGGCCTCTTGGAGAAGCCCTTCGAGTACTTGGGAGCCCTGGACGGTGACGCCGTGTTCCTGACGCACGGGAGGGCGTGCGCGGTGGAGAAGGTGGGCGCGTGGGGCGGCGCCGGCGCCGGCGCGGACCTGCTCGGCGTGCGCGGCTTCGGCGCGTTCCCGCGGGCGCCGGCAGAGGGGAAGCCCTTCGAGTGCGCCGAGTGCGGGAAGTCCTTCTGCAAGAAGTCCAAGTTCATCATCCACCAGCGGGCGCACACGGGCGAGAAGCCGTACGCGTGCGGCGTGTGCGGCAAGCGCTTCAGCCAGAAGGGCACGCTCACGGTGCACCGCCGGTCGCACCTGCAGGAGAAGCCCTACAAGTGCGCGGAGTGCGGCAGGACCTTCTGCCAGAAGCTGCACCTCACGCAGCACCTGCGCACGCACTCAGGGGAGAAGCCCTACGCCTGCAGCCAGTGCGGCAGGACCTTCTGCCAGAAGACGCACCTCACGCTGCACCTGCGCAACCACTCGGGGGAGCGGCCCTACCCGTGCGGCGAGTGCGGCAAGTCCTTCTCCCGCAGGTCGGCGCTCAGCGACCACCAGCGCACGCACACGGGCGAGAAGCTGTACCAGTGCGAGCAGTGCGGCAAGGCCTACTACCGCAAGTCCACGCTCATCACGCACCAGCGCACGCACACGGGCGAGAAGCCGTACACGTGCAGCGAGTGCGGCAAGCGCTTCTCGCGCGTGTCCTACCTCACCATCCACTACCGCAGCCACCTGGAGGAGAAGCCGTACGCGTGCGCCGAGTGCGGCAAGACCTTCAACCTGAGCTCGGCCTTCCTCAGGCACCAGAAGCTGCACGCCGAGGGCCGGGCGCCCGAGTGCGGCGCGTGCGGGCGGCCCTGCTCCGAGCCGGCGTGCGGCGGCGCGCTCCGCGGGGCGCGCGTGGAGGAGAAGCCGTACGGGTGCCGCGAGTGCGGCAAGAGCTTCTCGCACAACTCCTCGCTCTTCCGGCACCAGCGCGTGCACACGGGCGAGAAGCCCTTCGAGTGCCACCAGTGCGGCAAGTTCTTCTCGCAGAAGTCCTACCTCACCATCCACCACCGCATCCACTCGGGCGAGAAGCCGTACGCGTGCAGCGCCTGCGGCAAGGTCTTCTCCCGCATGTCCAACCTCACGGTGCACTACCGCAGCCACTCGGGCGAGAAGCCGTACGAGTGCAGCGCCTGCGGCAAGGTCTTCTCGCAGAAGTCCTACCTCACCGTGCACTACCGCACGCACTCGGGCGAGAAGCCCTACGCGTGCGGCGAGTGCGGGAAGCGGTTCCACCACCGCTCTGCCTTCAACAGCCATCGGCGGATCCACGGGCGCGGGAGCGCGAGCGGGCTTGCCGCGGGAGGCCTGTGAAGGCGGCACCCACGCGGGGTCCAGCAGGGTCCGGGTCCCGGGGGAGTGGCGCCCTGCACTGGGTTTCCCTCGGTCCGGCCTTGCACGGAGAACGCAGTGGGACGTGACGTCCAGCAGGGTCCCCGGGGGAGCAGTGTCCGCGAGCCGGGTTCGCCTTGGTCCGGCCTTGCACAGAGCGCGCCGCGAATGCCTCGGCTCGCTGGACACGAGACAGTTTATACAGGAAAGAAGATCTATAGATATTTAATATTTATTTTGGATTCCGATTGTATTTCTGTATCAGGGACTCCAGGCCAGGTCTGTCCGTTTGATGAATGTGCAGAGGATATTGTCTGGGCCACGTTCATGCTAAAAGCCATATTTCTGACATGACGTGGGACAGGCACAGGGGAGCGCAGAGCTGTCACGGTCACTAAGCCTTTGTTCCGAAGCCGTGGGGCGCTGGGTGGTTACGGCCCTTCCCACGTCCTTGAGTGCAGTCTCACTGTAACTATGCAATTCGCTGCAAGTTAGGGTTCGAGTGATTTGTGGAGAGGCAGTATTCTTGCTCGACTGCTGGGGGCAACAGGCACTAACGGGTTCGTGCTGAGGTAGGGGTTGATAAATAGTGAAACATAATTGTCTAGGTAGGAAGGTGCCAAGTGGATTTTGAGTGGATGACTTATCAGTCGAGGCAGTGGTTTCTGTGAAGTGTAAACTTCACCTGAGCAAAAAACAGATTTTTAAAAAGTTAAAAATACTATTTTGATAAACAGCATAATTTGGAATTGTGTACGTCTGTTTCGATGAAAGAGAACAGGTGTACTATTTACACTCTCCAAGCTGCCCCCAACTCTCACCCACGCTTGTTTTTAAACCGTAGGCTTGAGCCTACAAAGTGCCAGCATTACACAACTTGGAGATGTCACGCGCAGTTTTATTTTCTATAAATGCCAAGCTATTCTGTTCTTTGCCCCTTCTCCCCGGTATTTTGGAACGCACTAGTCCGTTTCTAGAAGACTCTGCGCCTCGCTTCTCAGTTCCTGCCGGGAGAGCTTGGACACTGACCATTTCTTCTCACAACACAGAGCTGGTGAATCACGACGAGGCCCAGGCGGTATCCCCAGTTCCAGTCTTCCTGCAAATGCAATCGTCGCCTGCCTTACCCTGGTGGGGCACATCCCACACCCCTGAGGGACGCCTGAGCCATGGGTGGTACTGAGCTTTCTTTTTTTCCCCAAGGTTGACTTAGTTGAAAGGTAGAATTAGAGAATGAGAGGCAGAGAGATCATCCATCCACTGGTTTGTCCCCAAGTGCTCACAACAGCTAGGGTGTGCCAAGCCGAAGCTAGGAGCTGCTTCCAGTCTCACATGGCTGCAGGGGCCGAGGGACTTGGGCCGTCACTGGTGCTTTTCCAGGTGCATTAGCAGGGAGCTGGATGGGAGATGGAGCACCCGTATGGGATGCTGATACTGCAGTCTGTGGCTTTACCCGCTGCACCCCAGCGCCAGCCACTGGACTGTACTTGTACAGAGCCTCCATGGTCCATCTGATGACCAAGATGGCGCCCCTGTGGCTGGTAGGTAGGCAGCAGGCGTAGCGTGGACATGCCGCGCCCCTGAGGCTTCATGCCCCTGGTGGGGTGGGCCCAGCTTCACCCTGCTACTCAGAAGGGTGTGCAGTTTTGTTTTTAAGTTCTATATTTAAAAAAGATTGATGTATTTGAAAAGCAGAAAGAGAAGGTGAGAGACCAATCTTCCATCCACTGGTTCACTCCCTAAATGGCTACATCAGCCAGGGCTGGGTCAGGCCAGGGCCAGGAGCCAGGGGCTTCTTCCTGGTCTCCCAGGTGGGTGCAGGGGTCTTCTGCTGCGTTCTCAGTCAAGTCAGTAGGAAGCTGGATCGGAAGTGGAGCAACTGGGACTCGAACTGGGACCCATGTGGGAGACTGGCATTGCACGTAGAGGCTTCACCCACTGTACCACAGCACAGTTGACCACACATAACTGAAACTGGACAAGGCGACATGACTGCAGCTTGTCTGTGATGGCCTTGACCCAATCCTGGCCAAAACAAAACAGGTTTGTTCTAGAAAAGGACAAAGCAGGGATCAGAGGGGTCTTAACCCCGCGAATGCATGGGCAGTTAAATACTCAAAAGTCGGTCATAGATAAGCTATGGAGAGAAAAGAAGTCCAATGGGCAGGAAGTTTGTGTGGCAAAATGAAGTCCTTTTATGAGCTTGAAAAATGACAGGGAACTCCTTATTAATCACAGAGCAGCAAGCCGCACGAACAGTGTCGAATTAATGGAGTGTTGAGAGTGATCCCCCAGAGACGACACAGGCAAGGCCAACCTGCTCGGCTCACTGGGTGCGGCACGGAGCCGAAGGACGGCCAGGAAGACAAAGGGCACGAGACTGGGAGAGAGGAAAGTCTTTGCATCGGACACCCTTTGGCGGTAGCCTATTCTGAGGACTACACAGAGAATGAGACTTGGTGCGTGAATTTAGCAGATGCCTGCACACACGGCCACTCTGCAGCCTTTTTTTTTTTTTTTTAATCAGCAAAAACAAAAAATAGGAGATGTGACTTTTTCAGAGCAATAACATTTACAAACATCCTCAAGTGTCTGGGAAGAAAATATTTCTAGGAACTGTATCCAGAAAAATTACAAAGCAGAGGGCTAGCTAAAATGTCGTTTTCCCCTGGATTAATCGATATAATCCATGCAATCTCAAGATCCCACTGAATCCTTTAATGGGAATTTACAAGCTAATCCTAAAACTCGTCTCAACATTCCAAAGAGGAGCGATGTTCTTGTAGAACGGACACAGCCACAGAGTTTGCGTTCTCAGACACGTGGTAAGGCCATCAGTAGGCTGTGGCAGTGGTGGGAAGGTACACGAGCGTGGGACAGAATAGGGGTCCCCGGGAGAGCCCCGTGTGTGCAGTCAGCAAGTGCGGGAGCGAAACAGTGCTGTTTGTGATAAGTGGGCTTTGTAATGGAGCTGCTTAAGTTAGTGGGGAAGTCAGCCGAACGCAGATACAGAAAACAAAGGAGCGTTAGGAAGCTCTGTAACCCCTGTGGACAGGCTGCTTGAACCAGGCCTGCAGAGCCCTGAACCATAAAACAATCGAATGTAACAGGAACCCACTGAAGGGGAGGAGACTTGCAGTTCATGGACGTGGCTGCAGCGTTCAGTGTAGACGACTGCTTGGTGAGGGCTGGATGGTCCGTACTGGGGGCTCCGTGTGCCGCAGGGCTCAGCTTTGGCTGTCGTGGGGCAAAAGCCGCTCGCTGCAGTGCGCGAGCAGGGAAGCCCCGCTGTCGCCCGCGGTGGCTGGCGCCTAGGCACAGGTGGCAGTCTGCATTTTGCATGCAGCCAATAGTTTTCTGGCCTCTGGCCTGTGGTACATGAACAACACCTGCCAATCAACAAGGAGGGGGCATGGGCAATGGAGTTGGCTATCCCCTTCACAACAAAGGATATCAGTGATTGGGGGACTCCCGATTGAAGGCAGTGTTTCAGTTCTACCCATCCTCTGATAGAGTTAAGCTGAGTAACCGAGCATCGAGTTTGGCAAGGGTTTAAGCAACAAGATCCAACGGCATGGCTGGGACTGCCCAACAAGAAAACTGTCCGGGGAGCTGAGCCCGTGTATGCCCAGATGTAGTGGAGATGCACGCGTGTGTCCACCACGGGAAACACCAGGACACTCAGAGCAGGAAGCTGCAAAATCCAGGACTAGGCTAGGGCGTGCACGGGAGAAGGAAGAAAAAAGGTGAATTTTTAGAGTGTCATACAGCCAGGAGAATGAACTCTGCGCGGTGCTGCTGCTGTCAGCAACAGGAAGCAGGATGGGGAGCGCCGTGTGACCGCGTGTGCGTACGTGTGTGTAAGGATGGCCCAAGTGCAGCCCAGCTAGTGCTGGTGCTGGTAGCCACCCGCGTGCTGAGCTGAGCCCCTAATGTGTTCCTTGCCTGCGTGTCATAAAAAGCTTAGGAACAGCTAACTGCCTGGCACCCGGCCGTGCTGGTGGTGGACGTGGACGTGGACATGGACGTGCCCCCTCGAGCTCGTGGTTGTGTGCAGGAGACACAGCCCCTTCACAGCACAGTGAGCGACTTCCTACACCGGGTCCTCATATGCCACAGGATGTCCATTTAACGTCCTGTGCTGGAGGAGGTTGGCCCCGGCGCCACGTCCCACCATCCCGCTCTTGGGCGCAGACGAGCGGCTCTGAGCTGCCTCATGAGTAAAGAAGCGGACGGGCAATGTTTCCCGTCTGCTCGGCGCTTCTCCGCTTTCTCCGCTCAGGATGCGCTAACTGTAGGTGGCAAAGAAAACACGGCGAGTTTGGTTTGGAGCAAAATTGTATTTTAAAAGTGCTCAGCTAGGCCTTTCAGCAAGGTCAAATTTCCACAGCACAAACGTGGGTGGGGAAAAGAACAGGTAACTCCAACTTGGTAAAGAACCGGGTGGGGGGGTTGGCGCTGAGCTTCCGGCGTGCAGCAAAGACCAGGTGCAGCTGTGACGGCACAGGTGCCACATGCCCTCCATTGTCGCTTTGCTCGGTGGCTCGGCTTGAAGGGTGATCGGTGCCGCGGGGCCAGCAGGTGGGGGAGGAGGGAGGTGGGATTCCATGGGCTGTAGCTTTGTGTTCTCCTGGCTCCTGGGGTACAGCCACCGAGCTCACAGCCAAGGGCGATTCCTTCACCAGCATCAAGGGCCAGCTCAGGTCGTGGTGACCTTGGCTGCTGGCCACCCTCCACTCCCCCCTCCCCCATTTACCACGGCTCCACGAGGAGTCCATACAACTTAGTGATGCCTTCTAACCATGGCCAGATGCTGATGCAAGACTCGTGTGTCCCAGGCTAGGCGATCCCCACGTTCCTGCCTCGTTCCATCCCCAGGCCGCCCAGGCACGGGGAAACCCAGCCCTCAGAGCAGCACCTGGGCGGGACGTCAGTGGTCCCTCGGGCTGGGATGCGGGAGGCCACAAAGATGGCAGAGGCAGTCCCTCGTCCCGCTGTGGAAGCGGTCCTTTCACAGGAGGGAAGACAGACCCCCGTCAGACCGCTGCCCCTGCTGGACCGGGCCGGGAGGACACCATGTGACTGTCCTGTGGGGCTCCCCAGGGCCGCCTGCCCTCCACACCTGGCCCCGGGTGGCCCAGTGGCACAGGAGCGCGGCCCCCCAGGGAGGGGACTTCGCAGAGTTCTCAAAGGGCATTAGGAAAAAACTTTGAAAACATCCCTTCTGATTCTGTTTCCCCTCATTGACTGGGGTCCTGGGCTGGGGGGGTCCTGGGCTGGGGGGGTCCTGGGCTGGGAGGGTCCTGGCTGCAAAAGCTAAGTCTACAGCAAAGGATCTCGAAGGTTTTCTGGGTGATCACATGGGGCGGGGCGGGGCCACCCACACCTGTCAGAGAACCCGGCTGCCAGCCCCGCCCCAGCTGCCGACTCTGGCCTCTGGCTGTGCAGGCAGCGGTGACAGCTCCTGCCACCCCCGGGGGTCCTGATCGGTTCCCAGCTCCTGGCTTAGGCCCTGGCTCCCACCCCAGCCATCACAGAGTCTCGGAGAGTGGAGCAGCAAATGGGAGCTGTCTCTGCCTCTCTCGGGAGGCGGGATGTGGGGGAACCCGCTCTGAAGCAGATTGTCCAGCGGCCGCAGGCCCGATCAACCCCGCGTCTTCCCGCCAAAAACAGCAGCTAAACGAAGAAACCGCAAAGCAGACGCTCGGTACTGAGCAAACACCCTCGCAGGAAGAGTATGGATGGTGTTCCGTAGAAATAAGAGAAAAGCGGTGATGAGGTTAGAGTGGAATGGGTCAGCCCGTGGCCGATGAGCAAGGCGCCCTGGCCGAGGGCAGGGAGCACGTGGGAGCCGGGCACCCCAAGTCTCCGTGGGCTGAGGTGCGCGTGGGTGCTGCAACCGGGCCAGGCGGGGCCGGGGCCGCAGGGCCTGGCTCGACAAGGCGTGGCCCTTTCCGCGGAGGGGGGCGTGGTCTATGACTGGAGCGTCCCCCCTGGTGGGCGTGGCCTGTGCTCAGGGCGTGGCCATTGCGCTAGGGGTTCGTTGAGACGTAACAGTGCGCGGGGCGTGGCTCGGGAGCGGGGGCGTGGCCAGAGGGGGCGTGGCCGAGCTCTCGGAGTTAGCGGTCCAGTTCCCGGGCAGCTCCCGGGGCCGCAACCGTCTGAATCCAACCGTCCCTGGGGAGCCAGAAGCCGTTGAGCGGGCTGTGGGGCGGCTCGGAAGTGAGGACGGGCGGGCGGGCCAGGCGGCTGGCGGGGGCGCGATCGAGAGGGTGGGGGGCTGAGCGGGGCCTCTGACCGCACCCTCCTCGCCAGCCGCGCCCCCCGCCGGCCATGGTGCCCCCGCTCGTGCTGCTGCTGCTGCTGCTGCTCTCGGCCGCCCGCGGCCCTTCGGCGCAGGCCGCCCCGCTGCTGGACGCCGCCTCGCGGGACCGCCTCCCGGGCCTGCAGCCCCTGGGGGGGCACGGAGGTCAGGGACGCAGAAGACGGGCGGGGGAGTCCAGGGGCCGGGGGCCGCCTTTCCCGCGGGGACGAAGCCGCACCGGTCTCTCGGCAGAAGGAGCCCCGGCCGGCGGCAACCGAGGGCTGCCGGCTGAAGCACACCCGGCCCCGGGCTCCGGCTGTCTCCCAGGCTCGTGAGGCGGCGGCGCGCCCTGAGCGCCATGGAGACCCTCGGCCACCGCGACAGGCTCCTGGGACCCTCGCCCGAGGCGGGGACGCCCGGGTCTACCCCCATCCCGCTCCCAAGACCCGCTTCTCTTACTTCCCTGGCCCACCCGCTCTGCCGCAGGGGTGGGGTGGACGCCGCCGCCCTGGCAGGGGACAGGTGTGCCCTCGCCAGACCCCACCCCCGCGCCCTTCGGAAATAAAGTTATTTCTTTAGAGCTGGCGGTGCTGTCTGCTGGGCGCCCCCAGCCGTGGGCCTGGCCCTGAGGCCCCCGACGTTGCCCCCTGGTCGCCGAGTTCCCATCCAGGCACCGGCTCTGTCTGCTGAGCACTGGCTCGGTCCCCCAAGCCCCTGTGGGACATCCCCAGCACTGCTCGTGCCCTTGTCACCCCCAGACGCTGCAGCCTGGGCCCTGGCCCCTCTGACCTCAGAGGGCAGTGGGGGGGTGGGGGGTTGGACTCAGCCAGAGCCTCCCTGCTCTCCCCTGCCCCCTCCCCACCTGAGCCTCCTGCCCATGCCACTGTGTCAAATTTATTTTTCTAAAAAAGATTTATTTATTTGAAAGAGCTACAAAAAGGCAGAGAGAGAGAGAGAGAGAGAGAGAGGTCTTCCATCCACTGGTTCACTCCCCAAATGGCTGCAGTGGTCAGAGCTGGGCTGATCAGGAGCCAGGAGCTTTTTCTGGGTCTCCCACACAGGTGCAGGGTCCCAAGGACCTGGGCCATCTTCCGCTGCTCTCCCAGGCCACAGCAGAAAGCTGGGTCGGAAGTGGAGCAGCCAGGAGGCTGGCACTGCAGGCAGCAGCTTGACATGTTACGCGCAGCACCAGCCCCTAGATTTATTTTTATTTGAAAGAGAGCAAGAGATTTTCCCATCCACTCCCTGGTTCACCTTCCAAATCTCTGCAACAGCCAGGGGCAGGCGAGGCGGAAGCCAGGAGCCCGGAACTCCTCCTGTGTCTCCCACGCGAGTGGCTGGGACCCACCTGTGCAAGCCGTGACCACTGTCCTCCCAGGGTGCATTCGAAGGGAGCAGGCCCTCGAACCCAGGACACGGGTTTCCCACGTGGGCCTTACCCCCAGTGCGGCATCATATTGCCCACCCCAGGATCGACTAAAATAACGAGCCTGCTTTACAACTCGTGGGACCTGCCACAGGCACCTCACCCCTGGGAGCTTCCGGGAGGGACGTGTCGGCACAGGCCCCTGCAGGCCTGGTCAGGAACTCGGAATGACAAAGTGGAGAAGTAGCCCCAATGTCCATCGGCAAGTGCGTGTCAGCCCAGCAGAAGCCAAGAACCAGGAATTCCATCCAAGTCTCCCATGTGAGTTTGCCTAGGCAGAGGCGGCCTGTCCACGGAAGCTGGACGTGGGTCAGACAAGGGACTCCCGGTGGCTGCTCAGAGCCTGGGGCGTGCCCAGGTCTGGGGCCAGGCTGCGCCACACGGACAGCTCGTTCGCCTGGGTTCCGGGGTGCGCCAAGGACGGACTCCCCGTGGCCTCGGGTCGCCTGGCCTTTCCCCATACTGGAAGGTCCTGGCCAGTGGCTTTCAGAACCAGGGTGCAGGGGTGGGGTTGGGGGTCCGCCATGTGAGCTATGCTCCTGCCCTGGGACCCCAGCTTTTCCACAGTGGCTTCTGCTGGTGGGAGGCGGGCCCCAGAGTGCGGGAGGCTGACTGTGTGGAAGCTGGCACTCACAGTGTGAGTGGTGGCTGGCTCCCAGCTGGGGGCACCCAGCTCGACAGCAAAGGGAGAAATGGATCAATCGGGCAGCTCTGTTCGGAGATGGAGCCCCCGGACCACAGGCGTTGGGTTGTTGGGGACCCCCAACCTGCAAGGGTTGCTGTCTGTCACCCTGGGTGGGGCCAGAGGCACTGACCCCGGGGGCCATGGCCTTGGGCAGGTGAGGGGGTGGACAAAGTACAGGCAGGGACGTGGACGAGCAGGTGGGGGCTGAGCTGCACCACAGTAGAGCTGGTGACGGTGGACTGGACGGACCTCATGGTGAGCATGTGGGCTGTGGTGGCTGCTGGCAGAGCAGGGTGCCCGGGCAGCAGGACCCACGGCTGGAGGAGACGGGCGGCTACCCTGTCCCTGTCCCTGTCCCTGGAGCCAGAGCCAAGCTCAGACTGCTCTTTGGTGGCCTCAGTGACATCAGGCTGATGGAATCACCCACTCAAACAGGGCAGCTCCTTCTGCCAACAGGCGGACGCCCACCCTATGTGGCAGGACTGGGCTCGGGGCCCTCTGCACCCCTGGCACACGGGTGTTGTACCAGCCTCCGAGTCGGCGTCCTGCTCCACTGTCCAGGACGCCTGCCTGTGTCCCCAGGGAGAGGAGGGAGGCATCACCAGGGAGTTCCCCACAGGAGGTGTACCCACTTAGGGGGCACAGTTACTGTAACGTAATGGTCCAATCGGGGAGTCTCTGTGGGCACACTGTGGGCTGCAGTTGTTTCGAAATATACGTTGTTGTGGGGCTGTGTGTATCGTGTGGTGTTACAGAGCACCAGAACCAGGGGCCGTCACTGCGGCGTGGTAGGTTACGCCCCTGCCTGTGGCACCAGCATCCCTGCGGATGCCGGTTAGTGTCCCTGGCTCCTGGCTTCAGATCGGCTCTGCTCCAGCCATTGCGGCCATCTGGGGAGCGAACCAGCAGACGGAGGGCCTCTCTCTCTGTTTCTCCCTCTCTCTGTAACTCTGCCTATCAAATATCTTGAAGAGCACCAGAACGAATCCCCCCATCTGTGCCCGTCGCCTCGCCCCTCTCCCTCCCTGCCTCCCCTTCCTCGTCTCCAGTAACCACTGTTCCCTGGACCGTGAGCCGACTTGCTTTACGCCTCCAGGAATGAGAACGTGGGGTATTAGTCTGTGCCTGGCTTGTGTCACCTGACACGATGTCCTGCAGTTACGTCCACACTGCTGCAGGTGATGGGATTTCTTTCTCAGGGCAGCGTAAATCTCCACGCATGTCCCACAGCTGTGTGCTCCGTCAGTGGAGGCTTTGGTGGCTGGTCCTATGTCCTGGCTCTTGGGACTGGCACCGCCACTCACCCGGGAGTGCAGGTGTAGTTTTGATGGTTCCATTGCCTTTGAATGTATCCCAGAAGTGGGGCTGCCGGGTCGCAGGGCAGTTCCATTTCTAGCTGTGGAGGATCCTCGGTGGCATGTCCCATGACGGCTGCCGTAATCCGGATTCCCATCAGCAGTGTTGGAGAGCTCTGGTCCTCGGTGTGCTCACCAGCACTTGCTGTTTTGGGTCATAGCCTTTCTTTGCCTTTTTTTTTTTTAAATATCTATTTATTTATTTGAAAGGCGGAGATACAGAGAGAAGGAGAGAAGGATTTTTCCATCCACTGGTTCACTCCCCAAATAGCCATAATGGCTGGGCCTGGGCCACACCAAAGCCAGGAGCCAGGAACCTCCTCCAGGTCTCCCATGTGAGTGCAGGGGCCTAAGCACCTGGGCCATCTTCCACTGCTTTCCCAGGCCATAGCAGAGAGCTGGATTGGAAGTGGAGGAGCAGGGACTAGAACTGGCGCCCATATGGGATGTGGAGGCTTAGCCTACTATGCTACAGCACCAGCCCCTGGGTCAGAGCCCTTGTAACTGGGATGAGATGATATCTCATTGCGGTATTGACTGAGTTTCCCTGGTGATAAATAACTTCGACCATTTTTTCATATATTTATTGGCCATTTGAATGATCATGTGCCAGCTTTTTTCAAATTGTTTTTCTGTTGGCTTGAGTTCCTTATATATTCAAGGTGTTAGTCCTTTGTCACATGAATAGTGTGCAAGTGTTGTCTCTCATTCTGTGTGTTGTTTCTTTGTCCTTTGCTATATGAGAGTTGTTTTTTTGTTTTGTTTTGTTTTGTTTTTGCTAGAATCCCGTTTGTTTGTTCCCTGGCTTTCGGGGTTTTACGCCCACAAGTCTTCATCTGGATTAATGTCTTGACGTGTTTCCATCATGGTGTTTTTTTGCTTTTTTTTTTTTTTTTTTTTGGAGGCAGAGTTAGTGAGAGAGACAGAGAAAGGTCTTCCTTCCATTGGTTCACCTCCCAAATGGCTGCTATGGCTGGCGCACAGTGCTGATCCGAAGGCAGGAGCCAGGTGCTTCCTCCTGGTCCCCCTTGTGGGTGTAGGGCCCAAGCACTTGGGCCGTCCTCCTCTGCACTCCCTGGCCACAGCAGAGAGCTGGCCTGGAAGAGGAGCAACTGGGACAGAACTGGTGCCCCAACCGGGACTAGAACCCGGTGTGCTGGCGCCGCTAGGTGGAGAGTTAGCCTAGTGAGCCACGGCGCCGGCCCCACCACATTTTCTTCTAGTACTTTCATGGTTTGGGGTCTTCCATTTAGGCCTTGGATCCGTTCTGCATTGAGTTTTCTGTGCGGGAGGGAGCGGGGTCTGCGGATCCGGGTTCCTCTGCCCTTTCCTGGGGGGGTTTCTGGGCTCTGCGCTGGCCCCGTGGGGCTCTGGTGCCGCGCTGTGGGGTGACCGCAGCTGGTGGTGTGTTCTGAAGCTGGGCGCTGTGACGCCTCCAGCTGTGCCGTCCTCGCTCAGGGTCGCTCTGGCTGGTGAGCGGCTCTTTGGGTTCCGCTTGGATCTTGCAGCTGTTTCTCTGATTCTGTGACAGAATCTCACGGATCGGCTGAGGGCCGCGTTGACTCTGCAGCTCACTTTGGGTAGCGGGGACGTCGTAGCGATGCTAATTCTTCCCTTCCACAAACATGAACTGGCTTCTCTGTGAGAGCTAGTGTCAGTGTTTGTGTCGAGTCTCTCATCTGTTCTGCCTTTTACACCCCTGGGCACTTGATTAATGTTCGTTTATTGCTGTTGAGAATGGGACTCCTTTCTTTCTTGTTTGTTTGTTTTAAAGATTTATTTATGTGCAATAGTTACACAGAGAAACAGAGATCTTTCATCTGCTGGTTCACTCCCCAAATGGCTCCAATGGCCAGGGCTGGACGAGGCCAGAGCTGGGAGCTTCCTCTGGGTCTCCCACGTGGGTGCAGGGGCCCAAGCACTTGGGCCATCCTCTGCTGCCTTCCCAGGCGCATTAGCAGGGAGCTGGATTGGAGGTGGAGCAGCCGGGACTAGATCCGGTGCCCATATGGGATGCCGGCGCTGCAGGCGGAGGCTTAATCCATCAGGCCACAAGGCTGGCCCCAGGGCATTGCTCTCTTGATGGCTTGCCCAGCAAGTTTGCTATTGGTCTA